GGTCTAGTGGAAGGTGTCCCTGCTGCTGGCAGGGGGGTTGGAACTGGATGAGCTTTAAGGTCCTTTCCAACCCAAACCATTCTATGATTTTATGATTTTTTTAAAACTGTGGCCTTTAAGTTTGTCAGCTTGCAAAGCAATGAACATTAAAGTACTCTGAAGTTCTTAGTTTGAAACGTTGTTTTTCTCCTTTGACTATTCCCACTTGTTTGGTGTTCACCGTAGCTTTATAATTGACATTGGTGGCTGAATTAACCTCTCCTGAAATCAGGCAGGCTTCACCAGGTTTTCACTATTACTGTAATTATTGTTCACAAGCTCCTTTTTTATCTAAAGAAAAAAAAAAAGGAGGGAGAACTGCAATTAATTATGTAATTGCAAATATATTGCTAAGTTGCAAATATATCGCTCACCTACATGCTTATATATAAAATTTGGAAATGCTTTTAATGAATTGCTACGTGATGTCTTAAATTTATAGAAGAGGATTTTTAGAGAGGGGCACAAAGAGGTACTTTGCAGTTGCATGGGGCTCCATCAGCAAATGGTTGAGTAAACAGTGCAGCAAAGGCATTTTTTTAACACTTTTGAGTTTTATGCCATTAAATACTTTTTGCTGGTTGATGTCTAATAGCATACCTTCAACTTACAAAAAAAAAAAAAATTGACTTGTTCTTAATGTGAAGTGCTTTTTGTTCTTTTTTGCTCATTTCATGATGTTATATACTTTTCTAGGGGCTGGCAAGGTTTGATTGCGTATGGATGCCATTCTCTTGTGTTGATAGTTGATGCCAGTACTGCTCAGACTTTACAGGTTTTGGAAAGACACAAAGGTAGTGTTGTCAAGGTGAGATACACATTTTTTTAACGTATATTAGTTGATTCTGGTGTATATATTATTTTTCTAAGTCACTGTAAGTACTTGATGTTATACTGCCCTGGATTTTTACATAAAATCTGACATAAAATACTCATCTTTTACGCGATCTCTTTTACAGCTAAATCAAACCATAAATGCTGAACTTTGAGCTGAGGCTGATGGTATAACTTAATAGAAGGTATAGAATGCATAGAAGCATCTGATAGTGTTACAGAACACAGACAGAAGTGTTTCTAAGAAAGCTCCTAACATGACAGATTTTTAAATGAAGATTACAAAATACCAGCTGAATCTCTTTGTTGATGCCCTTGCTGATTGTTCCTGTTGTGAGCGTAACCATTCAACTAGAAAGTTATTTTTAAGCTTTTACTTCTGTTCTTACCTATAGAAAAGGAACAATAACAGACAAAACTGAACATGTATTTTAGCCATTAAAAAATGACTAAAACTTAAGCTTAAGTGTAGGGTACTTGTACTTTCCTTTGAAGGTCCTTAACCTGAAACTGTAGAGTTTTACTTTGGGTCAAGTGTGGAACAGGATGTATTTCTTTGATGCATCATTTCTTTGTGGAGAATGATGGATTCAGTCAGAGTTTAGAGGAATGTTTGGCTGGCAGATGTAATGTTTGATAGTTCTTAACCCAAATGGTATATTAGAATGCAGTTAGTAATTTATGAAGCAGAATAGATTTTAGATAGGGAGATTTGAGTTTTTTCTGTGGTAAAAGCAAAAAGTTTGAATGTGCCTTCTGGAAATTGCATGCTATTTTTTCCCATATGTAATTTTCTTTAACTAGACCATATGGATACACTATTAGTGTATCAGATGTGGCTACTCTAGTATTTTAACATTAAACACAATTATTTTGTCTTGGGTTTGATAATTTACTGAGTTCTGAGCCATCATGTTCTGGTGATGTCTTTCTGCACACTAAAGAGCTTCAATTTTTTGGTGAGTGGTTTTGAAATTTCAGTATATTCAGTAGTTACAACACGTGGTGATGTTTCTGTATTTTTGTGTAGTATAATGTATTTCTGTGTTAAAGAGTCCAATTAAGTGTGTCTTTTCTATCATAATAAATGAACTGTTTAGATCCTGGGTGAAAATATGGGGTAGAGCAGAACTGATATAGATCCATACAAGATCTTTGCCAAGAACTATCTAGATAGTTACACTGTAGCTTTTAAAAATGGTTATAAAGTTTAGGAATTAGTTTGACTTGATTAGAGAGAATTTTGAAACTGGGAAAAAAGAAAGGTGAAAGTGTTAGGTTTCAAAAATGATAAATTGAAGTTTTTTGGTTTTTTTTTTTTTGAGACTTGTGTGCTGTGACATGTTTAAAAAAATGTGAAAATGTCACAAAGGACCAGAAACTGATTTATTCCAGCGTGTTTGTATACTTGGCCAAATCTTTCAGTGAAGTTTGAGGTTTCTCAGGTTTGCCCAAATATTGCTGTCAATTTAGAGCTTGTGCTGCTGTTGTGAATAGTCTCTCTAGTGACAAATGTGAGGCAACTTATCTGACTCTCAGTAAGGAGAGATTATTTCTCAGCTGTCTCAGAGCAAAGGTGTGTACACGACCGACAGTAACTGTGCACAGAGTAAGTGACACTATGAATCAGTACCTTTGCTTGCCTTTTGGCAACTTCTTTGGGTAAGCATACCCTTAGCCTCCATTGTCTTTAGACCACCCTTTAAAATGAACAAATCAATTTCATAGAATCATAGAATGGTTTGGGTTGGAAGGGACCTTAAAGATCATCCAGTTCCAACCCCCCTGCCATCAGCAGGGACACCTTCCACTAGACCAGGTTGCTCAAAGCTTCATCCAGCCTGACCTTCAACACTTCCAGGGAGGGGGCATCTACAACTTCCTTGGGCAACCTGTTCCAGTGTCTGACCACCCTCACAGTGGAGAACTTCTTCCTAATATCTCATCTAAACCTCCCCTCTTTCAGTTTAGAGCCATTTCCCCTTGTTTTGTCATTAGTTGCCCTTATGAAAAGTCCTTCCCCAGCTTTCTTGTAGCCCCTTCAGGTATTGGAAGGCCGCTATAAGATCTCCCCGGAGCCTTCTCTTCTCCAGGCTGAACAGCCCCAACTCTTTCAGCCTGTCAAATATCTGTAATTGTGTAAAAAAAAAAATAGGAAATGTGGGTGCTACAGAGGTAGCAGCTATAATGATGAATCTGCTTTAAAATTTCCTCTTAGCTTAGAGAATGGGTTGTAGCAAAATTAGAATTTGATCCGGGTAATGATAGCGTTTTCATGTGCTTCAGTTACTTTCACTAGCTTTGAGAAGTAACATTTTTTCAATAGGAAACTAAATGTTGAAATCCAGCTAGTTCTTATATAATTTATAAGTTTTCAAAACCACTATCTGATGCTTTATGAACAGAAATAGACTGTAAGAAAATGACCAATGTATGAGGAGGAAGAATGAGGAGACATTCTGTTCTGCTTTAAGAAGTAGACATTATATGAGAAATTATTATGAGGTCATGATCATTGCAAATCTTATGTGCATTTGTAAGAAATTTTATTTGATTCCTAGGTGTCTTCTTTTTTTTTTGTTTGTAAGTGCTAGGAGTGTAAATAAGCTGGAGGGGATCTGTAAGAATTCTGCTGTGTATGTCTAACCTGAACTCTTTGTAGTGAAAGTTCACACTGGCATACTTGGACTACAGGGGATCTTCTCCCCCAAAACCCATGCTTCAGGTTTGAAAAATTTCAAATCACACCACTGTCTGCAGTGAAACAGCAGAGAGAAAAGCACTTGTTTCATAATCCTTCTGCAATCTCTTGAACTACTTTTTTTTTTTAAATACTTCCTGGCCTTTGGCTGTCATAACTGTCTGGAAAATGGATCCATGTTAGTTGTCTGTATGTCCCTATGGTGTTTGTGGGATACTGATAAATTTGTATGGAGTGGATTATATCTGATTTTTTTATTTTATTTTTTATTTTACCTTTACAAAGGTACTTGAAAGAATACTTTTACAAAAGAAAATGTAATTACAGGAACAATTTTTTTGACTGAGGATTGAAATTTCATTTGTCTCTGTTCTGCTGTGTTAATGAACAGTGATAACAAGGTTCTTTATATTAGATGAGACAAATTGTAAAAATTAAAGAAACCTTCGCCCCTGGTTCCTGTTTCTGACCAATGCTGCTATATTTTGAAGTCAGGGTGGACAGGCAGTGACCAGTACAATAAAAAAATAATATCCTTTAGCAGAGGGATCAGGTCATATGTGGGAACTGTGTTGGAGTGGTGCAACTGCAGTGAGAAAAGAGGACTTAGGGTGTTAGAAAGCTGCATGAGCTCTGATGGAGACTGATTGCGTTCCTAACGTGGTGACAGCTCCTCCCTTGGGAAATGATGTTTTCCAGACTTGGAATTTGCTTCAAAGTAATATATATTTAACTGAGGAAGAAATAGCTTTTCAGGTTTCTATCATTACTTTTTAAGATAGTTACATAGTTACATGCAGGGATCCTCATGGGTAATTTTTTTTTGAACAGCAGGGAGTCCAGAAACTGCAAACTGCAAAACTGGAATTTTCAGGTAGAAGAGACTCTTAAGAATTCTTTGTTATTCTGGTAGAAACACACTTTGGATTTATAGCTGGAGGTCTTTGAAGATTTCTTGCTGTGCATGCAATTTAATTTATTCAGCTAAACTTTTGAGATACATCCTTGTCCCATCTCTGGGAGGGGTAACACAAAAGTGACTACAGTCCTCTGAATGCTGTTATAAATCTAATTCACACTGAAAAGCTAGTGGTTCCTAATGATAATTCTGTTTCTATTTTTTTGATGTCATGTTTTCAGTGTCTGCAAAAAAGTGTTGTGTTTGTCCTCACCCTTTCTCTTTCAGGTAGTGTGACAGCACACAGCTAGCTAGCTAGAGCATCATTTTTGTAGGAGTTAAGTTCCCATTAGCTTAGCATTAAGGTTTCTTTATTCTGTTAGCATCTTCAGTCTCTCTTGGATGCACAAGTTCTCCTTTAAAGCAGACAGCAAAACAAGTCCATACTGAATAGATAAGGAAGGAGTCAGTGTTATCTCCTTATAATCTTGGGAGACTTGTAGACAGAATGTTTCAGATTTCAAGACACGTAGTTTTTGTAAGTATTGCCAACTTGCAAGCCCGTGCAGCTTGAAATCCCAAACCAGAAAATGGTATGTGGAAATCAGTGGTGGTGACATGCTGAAAAGGACCAAAAAGATAGCAAATGTCAGCAATAGCTTGACTTGAGACAACATAAAGGTGAAAGACTGACCTTTCTTCCTCCCCAACACCATAATATGCCTACATTTGTCAGACTGGGAAAATTACATGTTTTAGGATGTATATAAAAGTTGGATGGTAAATTTTCAAGTCTTCTTTGTTTAGAAATCAGTGGGTATGGTTTTGTAGGTGCCCACAGAACCTTAAACATTACCATTTAGTTTCTTCTAAATATTTGAATAAAATTTTTATATACATAGCATATATTTATGGATTATTGTAGTCACCTTCAGGAACAAGGATTGTTGGTTTACATAATTTGAAAATGCCAACCATGCAGTCATGCAACACATTTGCAACATAACTGAAATGTACATAACTGATGGCACTTAAAGGTATGCTTACACAGGTGCTGTTAACTGGTAACTATTACTATGCTTTTTATTGAGTTAATTATTATTTTTTATCCATCTGAAAAATACTAAGTATGCTGCCTTTGTTATAGACATTTGCCTCCTTTGACCAATTTTCATCTGTATCTTCAGGTTAAATGGGCTAAAGAAAATTACCATCACAATATTGGCTCTCCATATTCTTTACGTTTAGCTTCTGCTGATGTTACTGGAAAAATAATTGTATGGGATGTGGCAACAGGAACAGCTCGTTGTGAAATACAAGAACATGCGAAACCCATTCAAGGTAATGATAGTGCATGGTGTTTGTGTGGGAGTTACTTTGTGGAACATCACTACAAATCCATCACCTAGGTTTTGCAAACTATGCTCACTTCTGCTGTTGAATTTTACTGGTGGGATTACTCGCCTTCTCTATGTTTGTCTGCTCGTTTTCTGTGCAAACATAAGACTTACTCCCTCCTAGAGGGATACTGTGAGATTTAATTCATCCTGGTAATATTTTCCAACATCTTGTGAAGAAAAGTTAAAATCTATTTTTATTATTTATTAATATTTGACTGAAATAATAATATTTACAGTGTCAAGTACATCTTCCTGCTTTTGAATTGTTGATGTAGTGCAGTTTGCATTGCACCTGAATGTTAATGTAGTTTATAGTGATGTAGTGCTTTAACAGTAACTACTAACTGTAAATTAAAAGTTTTGATTATGCACATATACTTTGAAAATTATTTAGTTTAGATTTAGCTCATTATATAGCTACTTCCAATATACTACCCTGGTAACATACATTTGCAATGTAACTAGACAGTTAAGTTTTTTTTCAGTGTCTGTGCAGTTGTCTGATTCATAGGAGCAGAGAGGCTTTTCTGTGCAAAGATAGCAACATTAAGATGTGAAAATTGAAGTGGAGAAGGAGAAGATATTGTGTAAATTTTAGCTTAGAATACAGGTGTAAATAAGGTAGGTTTTGTGTATAGTTGGGAGTTAGTGGTAGGAAGTCTTGAAACTGAGTATGCCACATTTGAATTAGGTTTCAGGTGTAATGAAGTGGTCATGAATGATAAGGTTTAACACAAACAGTCGAGAGGGAGAGGAAATCTGGAGATGGTATAAATAACTGGTTTTGGCTTTCATTTGAGAGGACAGTTTAATGGTAGTTCTTGCTGCTTTTGAATCTCTTCTGTGGGTGGTAGCCCAATGCAGCTGGGAAATACCCAATAAACTCTTAACTGAACAGTTCTGGGCAGCTGCATGTTTGAAGATTCCTTATCCCATTACCAGAAGAAAAATCATGGTCTCATTCAGGAGTTCCCCAAGTCTTGGGGGGGAGTAAAAAACAAAAGCAAAAAACAACCTACCAAACAAAATTCACAAAAAACCCCAAACAAACTAACAAAAAAAGCCTGAAGAAAAGACCTATGCATTTACTATGGAAGCCATAGAAGATTTATGTTTGCTTGTGCTAGAGGCAGAAATGTCTAGAAGCCTGCCATAGAGGTAAGTGCTATCTTAATTGGTCTGATGAAGGATAGAGTACAGAAATTGTAGCTACTGGCCAGGTATAACACAATTATGAGAATATATTAGAAAGGAATAATTGTCTTTTTCCTTGCTTCTTTTTGTGCTCATCTATATCATCCATCAAATGCTCCCTTTCATTAGTTTGCATTTTGTACTTCATCAATGAAAAAATTAAGGTAGTGCTTAGAACTCAGAAAAGGGAATCAAAAGATCTAGGTATCATTCCTTCTTGCATCACACACTCAATATCATTTTTACTATTGCTTTAATTGGTGCAGCTTGTAGTTGATAGTAGTAGTTGTAAAACTATTGTAAAACTCGTTTTTTTTTGGTTCTAATTACTTGTGGTGGGGCCTTTTCTCTCTATTAGAACCACTCCTAACAGAGCTGTCCAGGAGCTGGCTGGAGCACTGGGATCTGGTTAGCTTTGTGGCTGAACTATGGCGGCTGGGCTGCTTCAGCACCTGAGCTGATGCTGTGAGTGGATTCCTTCCAGCATCGGACTGGCTCTTTCAGAATTAGCTGGCAGGGATAACACTGCAAGTACAGCAGCATCTACATGCTCTGCTGCATGTTCTGGATTTCTGTTTATTCCTACTGCTGCCCGTACTAGCAATGTACCTACAAAGTATTTCTGAAGTAAAATGTAGAAGACTTTTTTCTTTATTTTTTTTTTCCCTCTCAGAGAAACTACCCTAACGAATTTCTAATAATAAGTTTTAGTTTATTTGGACTATTTTAAAAACTTGTGAAAACTTGTGTAGTACTTGCTTTTAATTTTTAATTGTATTATTTGAAAACCAACTTATGAAATTAGGTTGTTTGTTTTTTGTTACACTTCTGTTTTTATAAATCCTGTGAAAGTAGGTGCAATATTGTAAGTCTGATAGTGGGACACTGAAAATTTATTCTGTTTACTGCAGTTTAGGTTTTTTTTAGTTTTATTTCTTTTTTGGTGTATGTTATTTACTGACACTTATTCACTGAATGCTTGATGGAGTTTTGACCATGCCATTTGAAGATTTCTCCAGGTTTTCAAACTCAGTGAAGGCTTTCTAATCTGCTGGGTGAGAAAAAAAGTTAGTAAGTAAGAGAATTAAAATTCTGTTCTGTCCTCAGTCCCTGATTTGATTTAGCAATAACCTCTAACAGAAGCAGCTTCTTTTCCTTTCCATCTGTTTCTGAGACCTCTAGCTGTTTTTTTACAAGCCTGTAGAAAATGGTACAAATAGAGAGATGAAGCTCCAGAGTGATCTTCTGGTTCTCCATGTGTCGTCTGCTAGAGCTTTGTAGAGTAACAGCTGGAGCCTCACTGCTTCAATGAGGAGAAAAGTGGAGCTTCAGTGTGAGGCACTCTTCTTTATTTGATCCAAACCCTGCATTCACCTGGGAAGTTAACCTTTTATTAACTTACAGTGTAAGTGATTAGGACACATATAGCTGGATGATTGTTTTTTCTCTGAAAGCCAGTGAGAAGCATTTATCAGCTCTGAAAAAAGCTGAGTTGATAAAACAGGAGAACGGCTGAGATAGGAAGGTTTTTTGACATCTTAATATATATGAACATGCTGTAGAGAAGCTGCGACTTGGTGAGGCCATGCAGTGACTGATAGGAGCTGGACTGGAGGGACTTCATCCATTGCTTGCCTGACCCATTCTTTTGTCTAAAACACTGCCCCATGGAGCTCTGTTCTTACTGACAGGAAATATAGTCTTTTATATCTGTTTATCTTGAATGTTTAAATGATGCCCAGCCATGGACAGCCTCTTCAGACTGATCCTATTACTTAAACACTGTACTTGTCTTCTTGATTGTGTGTTACAGTCAGTTTCATTTTACTCTTGAATTTAAGACTCTCTGTTTACAAACTACTTGAAGTGGAGAAGATGTTTGTTTCCAGGTCCAATACTGCTTCCATCTCAGATATTAATTTGGGATGGTGTATGGTTCACGATGTCATCCCAAATATTAGTTGGGATGGTATATGCTTCTTTTCATTTTGACTCTACAGTGGTTCTGTACAATATGATATGTTGTTTCAGATAGGAATTCACTGCTGTAAAGATCTGACTTCTTCAGACAGGAAGTGGGTTGTGTGCATGTGTGTGGACATGTGTAACCCGGTGTTTTGCTGCTTGTTAAAAACATAAATTCAGGCCATAAAATAAACTTATTTTTTAGAATTGTGAAATAGAAACATCTTGTTACTAACAAGTCTCTATTAATTTCTTTAAAGACAAGGTGCTACTGAAGAAGAAAAATTTTAAAATAGAACAAACTTTTTTTGAAAATTAATTTCACTGTTTGTTGTTCTTTCTTTCTTTTGACAGACATGCAGTGGTTGTGGAATCAAGATGCTTCTAGAGATCTACTGCTTGCAGTTCATCCACCTAACTATATTGTACTGTGGAACGCAGACACGGGCACCAAACTTTGGAAGAAAAGTTATGCTGAAAATATCCTTTCTTTTTCATTTGACCCCTTTGATCCATCACGCTTAGCTTGTAAGTTTATATGTATAAAATAGTGTGATATGAATATGTGTGTCCAGGAAAAATGTTAAACTAAAATGTTAATATGGAGATTAAAGTAATGGATTAGGGAGAATAATGTCATTAATACCAAGAAGTCATCCCAAAACGAGACAGGAGTGTCTTTGGCTAATGTGGAATCTTATAAAATAAGATGCCATTGTGTGAAGGAAGAGGAGAAATGGGCATGAATAGAAAAGTTAGAGATCTGAAAAGAACTGTTTGAGACTTTATAAAGAAGGTAGAAAGCATGTAAATAGGATGCTGGAGGAAGCCAAGTATAGAGAGCCCTGTTAAACTGACAGAAAAAGCTATAGAAGGATGGATGCTGATGGAGAATCCCCTGAGATGAGTAGACCAATAATAAATGGTATTTTCAACGGAAAGGATTCCTTTTGTTAAAGGAAAGCTGTGTGAGCATCAGTTTGAGAAGCAATTCTCATGTCAAGGGGGATGTAGTGCAGATTTATCGACATTTTAGCAGAAGGAAACTAAGAGAAATAAGAGAGTCACCATTTTATCCTTTAATTTATCTTGATCACTCCTGTTTGGTAAAGAGACAGTGCAGTTTCCAGGCTTAGTAGTTGTATTTTTTTTTTTATCTGCCATACCATTCTATAAAGATGTAGCTAAGATTTTACTGCTTCTTTACAGCTTAACTGAATCTTTATGCTGCAATATAAATAATGTGAGATAATGATTCTTTGAGCTGTGGTCTGCATGAGAACAAAAAATGTGATATAGCCAATGTGGGCAACCCTGCCTTCTCTTCGTATTGTGAAGCTTAAAGAAATATAGTTGATGAGGGAGAATAGCTTCTGAACAAACAAGAAGTTTCTCCAGTAAATCCCACACTGGTTTTTTAGCATAGACTTAATTTAAAAAAAATCAGTTTTGCTGCTATAAGTTAATTGTAACACCACAATCAAATTGCAGATTGTATTTTGCTACAATAAAGATTGTTTTTCTTGGTACAGTGCTCACCAGTGAAGGTATAGTGTTCATCTCCGACTTCTCTCCTTCCAAAGCTCCTGCCAGCTCAGGGAAGAAAGTTTACATCTCTAGTCCCCATTCCAGTCCTTCTCACAACAAACTGGCTGCTGCTACAGGGGCCAAAAAGGCCCTTGATAAAGTAAAAATCTTAATCAGTAATGAAAAACCAAGGTAGGTTGCAAATATTTCTTCTCAGATTATGTTTTGTATACCTATATATTTAATTAGATTAAAACCTATAAGATAATTATTTTTGAAAAAGTAAATTCATTGGGGTAGGCAGATGGTTGGATGTCCTGTATGAGGACATTATGTAAGAATATACCACTGACAGTCAATCATCCAGTTCTGTTTGTCAAGACAACCATATCTTCCCAGGTTGTTTTACATAAGTTAATGACATAATATTCTCCCTTAAGTAACAGATTTTCATGCAGTTGTAAATTCAGAAACATCTTTCTTAGGGGGAAAAAAGAAAGATGAAAATGGGCTAACGTAATTCATTTCAGTTGTGGAATGAAAAGGGATATAATAAGAGAATAAGAATTCGGTAAGCACTGGTACCTGAGAAGAGTTGTCATTCTGATGTTGTACATGATACTGCAGTAGGAGACATTTTTAAAATTAATAGTGTATGAATAAAATTAGAATTTATACATACATATTTGTCTGTTTTCTGACTGTTTAAAGCTGTTGCAGTTTGAGATTTTTTTTTTTTTTGTTAGAAATTCTCTAGACTACTTTGTATGGTGTAATTGTTTTTTTCCTTTTGTACTTTCTATTTGAGTAATAAAAGTATTTTTCAAACGTCCAGTGAATTTGAGAACAAACTAATCAAACTGTATTATGAGTTAGGACTTGACACTAAAATTTAGTGCAGAGGTGAAATTTATACTCTGTTTTAATAAGGTGTTTAAATTGCAAACTGGGGAGCAGACTTGATGATACTTCCTCTGGTAATCATTTAAGAAATTGTGATTTTTATATGAAGTTAAAGGGCATGATCTTGTCATTTTTTTATTCTACAATGCCTGATTTATGCTGCACCAGACAGAACACCTGACTTGCAAATACTGAGACAGAACATATGCTGCTGCAGCCCTTTGTGTGCTCTGTAATAAGAGCAGATCAGCAAAGATACTGTTTTTTCTGCATTCTCCTGATTGAATTTTAAATTGTATGTTATAGGGTATGATAGTTTTCTTCCTCCTTTTCTATCCACAACATCTGAAAAGAGTAGAGTGGGAAAACTGGGAGAAAAACTTGTAGTTTCATATTAGTTTAGGAAAACTTGGGGAGAGAGGAGCAGGAGATTTTCAGGAAAGTGATTGCAGAGAAGAGGTGAATAATACTCCTGAAGCAAGGAATGAGATGCAGGAAGAGTATAGGGAGGGCTTGATGTGTGGTAGAATGAGGAGTTTAAAACCAAACAAAACCCCACAAAGGGATGATACATTAAATCAGTGCAGAGACCTTCAAACCTGAGCACAGTATGAGGATGATTTTCTTCAATGTGATTTAAATACAGTTCGTTGGATTGCTTCCACCTAACGAACCTCTTTATGTTGCAGCCAATCTCCTG